CTTTGCCATTAACAGGATAACATAAACCCCTTTACCTTTGAGAGGGTGGTGTGGAAAGAGAGAGAGTAGAAGGATTACTGGGAAGTTTTAGCAGAAGACTGTACCTATAGAGAAAACAGCAGGGGTGAAACGGAAGATACCAAGTGCAGTGGTGCATCGTACCCCAACACACTTTGGGCATTGCACCTGCGCTGTATATAAAGTGTGTGTGTGGGGGGGGGACATGGACTGGGGTTGTAATATATATATAAACAACCCCAGTCCGTGTCCCCTCCACACACATTTAATATAACTACCAGTGCCACCCCCCCCCCCCCCCCCCCCCAATACAATCTAGAGCCCCCTCTCCTGCTTACCTTGTTGCAGGGAGGAGGCTGTGAGGCGGCACGTCTGTCCCGGTGATTCGGTGTTTGATTGGTAAGGTCTGCTGCAGACCTTACCAGTCAATCCTGCACAATCCTTTCGGCCAGCGTTCACTGAAAGAGCGCTGGCCGAAAGGATCCGAGTGCCGGCGCAGTCTCAGCTCGCGGGCTGGTACACTGAGACCCCGGCATTTTTGCCGCCCCCTTGGAATCTGCCGCCCGAGGCAAACACCTTGTTTGCCTCGCGGCAGATACGCCCCTGACCAAGTGTGCACAGATTAAGCTGTAACAATGCTAATCTTACACTTGTAGTTAGGAATACAGCATAACACAGTGAAATACAATTATATAGGTATGTAGTGTAACTAAAACAGCAAAAATAAAGAAAATGACACTGGATGTGGCAGCACAGGTTTTATTGACTTACTAGAGACTCTGCCAGGTCTTTGAAGATGTAAATGGTCCATGCAATAGAAGGCAGAGTATACTTACCTTGTTCACAGTTCCCGCCTCCGACATTTCTGCCATTCCAGCACTGCAGACTCTGCAAGCCTCTTTGGCACTCAACAGTAAAGGACTCCAATGAGGCTTTCGGAGTTTGCAGCATTGGAACAGAGTGGCAGTAGAGGAATCGGGTCGCCGGAGAGATGAATGTATTCTGTCTTCTATTGCTGGTATATAACAGTTTCAAATCTTCAGAGACCAGACACGGTGTCTATAAGCATGGAAGATGTCTGAGACGACAAAGCTTATTATTGCATGACCAACACTATCATAAAAATAGGAAAAAGCCTGTAGTGATAGAACATTGCGGATTCGGTTTTAAAGTTGAAGCCTACATGGCTGCAATCCCGATCTCCATAACTACCTGAACTGGAGAAAGCACGCAAATGGGAGTTTAGATTTTGTAGACTTCACTGGATACATGCTTGTTCAAGGTAAGTCACAGAGCTGGCTGTTTGCTTTATTCTGTCCGTACAGTTTAAAGTGCATGTAAAACCAAAACTTTTTTATAGTTTTTGATAGGGTTGGGAAGGGTTAAAGCCCAACTGAAGTCTTACTTTTTATTATTGGTATGCAGTCAGGCTGAATGACTAATAAAGAATATGGATTTTTTTTTAGGTAGAATGTGTTACTGCTGAAAACTGTAAAAAGCTGCTCTGTGCATTTAAATGTAATATTTATGTAAATGTTTTCAACTTTTTAAAAAACTCTTTTCATTGATTTGCTATTCTGTTCGGTACCATGGAGGTACTGAGCAGAATAGCTGAGCAGAATGCCGCTCCGCAGCATATGGCTATTCACTTACTGCCGTTTGGCCCCTATGTGAATAGGGGTTAATGGGGTTAATGGGCAGCGAGTGACCTGCCGGAGCTTCGGCTCAGCTGATCCAGATGTTGGATCGGCTGATCCAGATGTTAGATCGAGTCGGAGTCCTTCTGCACTTCGGCTCAGCATGTTCGGCTGACCGAAGTGCAGCCGATCAGCTGTACAAGCCAGAAGTGAATAGCTGAACGTATGTTCACTTCGGCTGGGTTATTCACTTGCCTGCCTTCGGCAGCTTTATGAATAACCCCCTTAATGTGGTTGATGGTAAAATACTTTGCTGCATATAGGAAGGATAATAATACTACATAAGAGTAGGATATAGTGTTATTCATTCACTCTGCTTTCCAGCCACATATCTAATGAACAGTGTGCACGGTGGAGAACATGTGTCAAACACGTAGCAGAACAGAATGGACATTTCAGAACATTTCATTCTTGTCTCCGGTTGATTCCTTTTTCATATTTTCTTCAGCGCAGTGTCTTTGAAATGCATGTACATATATTTGAGCACAGACGTTATTTCTGCAGAAAACCTGTGCAAACATAAAAGTTCCAAGGAAAAACAAGCTAAAAGCTTTCTCAGCCACTGCGATCTCTTTAATGTACATTACCGAGGGAAGGTGGCATTGGGATTGTTACAGAGCGGATGACTCACATACAAAGAACATTTGCTACAGTCTGTATAATAGTCTAGATCAGCAAGGTCCAGCTAAAGTCATCAAGGCCACATGAGTCCGGGACGGGTACAGGTATCCGCTGCGTGAATTAAAGCTGATATTACTTTTTATTTGATGTAAGAATAAGAAAACTTGAAAACAGCCCCATGGAAGTCCCAGGACAAGGTTACCTGTGGTGGGACTTAGGTGGGTCATTGTTATTATTTTTACATAGGATTTATATAGACCCAACAGTTTGCGCAGCGCTTTACAATATAAGGAAGACATTACAGTTACAATACAATTCAAGACAAGATGGTAAGGAGGGCCCTGCCCCTGAGGGCTTACAATCTAAAAGAGGAGGGGGAAATGATACATGAGGTAGCTGTGGGAATGAATTATGTGAGAATGTGAGTGTCGCTGGCTTGGAGCTTAGCTCAATCCAAAAGCAAAAATGTAATATATTGCAGCTTACCAGTTCTTAGATGTGACGGCTGCACTCGTTTTCTTTTAGCTTTTTTCCATTGTTTTTACCTGGTGATTCGGCCAGTAAGTCTGTTCTTTTTCACCTTCCTTTAAGGCTAGGTTCACACCAGATGCAGTGCGCTCTGGCCTGATTCTGGCCAGAACGCACTGCATCGCATTTCGGCCGGCTCACTTTTTTGTGGGGCAGGAGGGGGCGTGGTGAACCATTGAAGTGAATGGCACGATAGCCACGCCCTCCGGCCACAATGCGATCTCAAGTCGCATTATGCCTGCGGTGCGGTGTGATCAAAATAGTGATTGCAGCACAATTTGCCTTGCGATCCAGTGCGGCCGATCGCATTGTGGCCGGAGGGCGTGACTACGGTGCGGTACGGTAGACATTTATTGGAAAAAGCTTTTTCAATTTTCTAATTGAGAATCGTTTAGAATCGTTTTGTTAAATCGAATGTTAAAACCAAACAACATTTTGAATGGCATTCGTCAGGTCTCTGATGGCATTATCCAATGCTCTGACAAGATTTTTTTGTATAAATATAAGGCAAAGCATTTAACACTGACAGGGGTACTTAAAATGATCAGCTTTTATTCATTTATATAAAACCTTTATTCCAAAAGGAAAAACAATGTGCCGAAAAAGTGTTAGCTGGAGTTCTGATTGAATTTGTTAGTCAAGTCCATCTAAATCTATTAGTGCATCTCATACTACCCTCTCCTCAGGGTGACAATGTTGCTGCAAAGGATGGCTCCATTGCTCCTCCATCGAGCATTGTCACCCTGAGACAGGAAATGGTTACTGGCTGGATCACTGATGATAATAAAGGAAAAAAAACTAAAAAAAGAAAACACATGCAGCCACTACAATTAAAGTTTGGCAAGCGGCAATATATTCACAGCTCAGGACAGGCATGTTAAACCCCCTTTATTACCAGACCATTTTTTGCTTTTCAGTGCTGTGATAGTTTGACTGAGAGTTACTTGGTCACGCAACATTGGACCCAAATTCATTTTGTATCAATTGTTTCAGATAGATGGATCTTTCATTTGTTGGTATTTGATAACCTCTATTTGGTCAAAGTCTGCTTACCTGGAACTGGTATTGAGTGCTTATCCCGACCCTGCCATCTGTGGTGACAGTCACTCCCTCTGGAGATGAACAACAGCATATTAAAACATAGACTAACAGACCTGAGGTGTGCCTTGGTCCGCGTGGACGGTACACCAAATAAGGGGGCATACCCTGAACATAGCCAGTAACCGCGGGCTGGGTGGGAGGGTTGCAAACGCTGGGCTCAACACATCCGGAAGCCTGGACGGGCGGCTCCTTAAGACGGCCGTGAGGGACGCTGACTCCCCCCACAAATGCGGCTAATACCTTAGCCTAAGACTTATTTTTCCCTATATAAATAAAAAAAATTTTTTTTTTTTTAAAAAAGGAGACAATAGGGTTGCACACTGGCCATATACAGTTTGTAAAATGTTCAGTCTGTAAGTGGTTACATTTTTGTTTTTGGGTTTAGTTATGCTTTATATAGCACAGTGACTTAGTAGTTAGCACTACTGCCTTGCAGTACTGGGGTGCCCAGTTTAAATCCTGGTCTGGACACTATCTGCAAGGAGTTTGCATGTTATCCATGTGCTTACATGGGCTTCCTCCCACACTCCAAAGATCCTGGAAAGTTAGTTGGCCCTTTATGCGATAGGGACCTTAGACTGTAAGCTCCCTGAGGGCAGGGATTGATGGGTATGTGCAGTATGTAAAGGGCTGCGTACATTTTTGGACCCTAAATACCTGTAATACATCAAATATCATCCTCCTGTAATACCCTGCAAACAATATTCACACTGGGAGAGGGAGGAGCAGTACTAAGCCTAAAGATTCCTACATGGAAAAAGAGCACAGGTGTTACTTCATCAGCGTACTGTTGCTCCTTCATTGTCCAATCATCAGGCTGGGGGAAAAGAGGCGACTAAAGCTAGCCAAACATGGCTCAAACAGTTGCCAATGGAAGAGAGGTGTTGAAATTTGCATGTGTAGGGTGCTTGCAGCTATAAGAGTAAGTGGGACATATACTTATCCTCAAACATCTGGATTGATCCCCATAGTCTACATATTTCGGTAGCACACATATCCATCCTTGCTCTCCTGACCTGTTTTTCCTTGTCACAGGTGGACCGCACAGAAGTGATCAAGAGCAATCTGAATCCCGTCTTCTCCAAGGTCTTCACTGTGGACTACTACTTTGAGGAAGTGCAGAAGCTGCGGTTTGAGGTGTACGACATCCATGGACATTGCAGCATTGGATCAAGGGATGATGACTTCCTGGGTGGTGTGGAAATGACTCTGGGGCAGGTAAACATTGATGAATACTTTCTGAAATGATAGGGGATATTGATCATAAGCTGTAAGCAGGTTTTATTTTGGTGGGGAATGTTTGGTGTCACTTATGATGTTGTGAGGTGGTGATTAACAGCTGAGTCAGCCAAATCTAACTCACCAGAAACCTAACCTACTTCTGCTACCATGGTAGGCAGGGTTGGATTTGACATAAGGCCACATAGGCCGTGGTCTAGGAGACCATTGCCAGTGGGGGCAACACTGGGCCCAAGGATACCAAGTGTACTGGATCCAACGGGCCACCAGAAATAAGCAAAACACAATCTCTTGACTTCCTTCCTTTCAATCTTGCATTGGCTGCTCTGGGGTTTGTTTCTCGTGCTGTGCTAAAATACCATTTGGAACCTTTGGTTTGCTATGGACTAGCGTTATTTATGTTATCAGGTCTGTTATTAATCAGCCTTATTGTATGAAAACTGTGACCAAGATGTGGCTTCCAGTGTTCCAGATCTTAGCTGTGTTCCCATGCCACTGGCTTGCAGCAATTTACCTCTATGGTGACCACAGGTGTCTCTATCCACTATAGTGTTGCCTCATTGAATAAGTGCCCAGATGATTCACATTTCTTTATATGAAATGCAAGTATCATGATAGCCTTCCATCTATACATTGTGCTATTGCGTAGATATGATGTACGGCGCAGCGCCATTCATTCAAAGTGGCACTCCAACACACAAATACAGGATATCACAACACACATTCAGTAGGCACATCACATGTCACATAATGTGTGTTGTGATGCTCTGCATTAAAACAAAATGATGCAGGGAAATTGTTTCCTATATTGTCATGCACAGTCCTTTCTTAAAGCCTTAAAGCATTGTCTTTGACCATCTCCTTTTACATGTCTGTAGTCTGACTATCTCTTTTAGCATGTGTGTAGTGGCTGACAATCTTCTGTTACATGCCTGCAGTCTCTGACCATCTCTTCTACCAAGCCCTGTAGCTTTTGACCATGGCCTGTTACATGTATGCAGTCTCTGACCATCTCTTGTAGCAAGTCCAAAGTCCTTCATCATTTCCTGCTGTGTGTCTGCAGTTTATGACGATCTCTTGTACCAAGCCCTGTAGCCTTTGACCATGTTCTGTCACATGTCTGCAGTCTCTGACCATCTCTAGTAGCAAGCCCCATTTCTTTGACCATCTTCTGTTACATGTATGCTGTGTCTGTTATCCATTTTTAGCTCTGGGTAGAGTAGGGAAGGGTTGAAACCTCTATCAGGTCATTGCTGCTGTCCGTGTATCAGCTGGGGAGATTTGCCCTTTTTAACTGTCCTGGTGACTATTGTCTCTGGGGCAGAAAGTCATGGGAAATCCAAAATGCTACAGTTGTCACCAATACAGGGTGTATGGGGAAATAGAAAGAAATAAAGTTTTGGCTTTACATACATTGGCATTAGAAAGGGCACACTATTTGGGTGATATGATGCTGGCATTTAGTCTGGTGTTGGATATGTTTTGCCCATACAGACCTCTACAGCTCTCAGCAACCATTAAAAGTCCATAAAGGTCTATTTGTGATTTCATTACATTGCTTTAGCACATAATACCCATCTCATACGTGTATAGTAACTTCAATGAATCAAAGTGCTTTCAGCTTTCTTGTAAACAACAAGATTGTATTATGTTACCAATGTACATTATGTGAGCAGTGGATCCATGGCACACCTTTTGAGAGTGCATTTGCTTTTATCAATATCAGTGTTTTCCAAGCCAGTCTCAGTTCTATTACCATTCACTCATTTCCTCTCTCCTCATTTACGTCAATCTCAGCCTCTTATTATCTCTGCGGTCCATACACTGCGACTCTTCCCTAACAATGACTGCACTAAGTTCACCTGCTCTTCCATTGTGCAAATACCTTCACTGATGCATCACTTCCCATTTAGTGCCGACATGCTTTAAACCTGTAGCCATGGAGGAAATTGAAGGCTTGATTCAAGGACATTTTGTAGAAATAATTCCAAAGATTTGATTTTAAAAGCTTTTGTAAAAGAAGGGTGCTTAGTAATGGTTTATTATGGGCCCTGTATGGCCAAAGCCCCCCCACACAAGTTGCTATTAATCATGTGTTGCTGGGTATAATAAAAAGTTCCAGGCTGCTGCCAATGTGTTCTGGTTGGAATCCCATCGATGCTGTCCCTGCAGTTTGTGCATTTTTGCTGGTGGAGTAGTGTGCTGTGTACCAACACTAAAGCTCTAGGCTGAGCATCCTTCCCTTTCTTGTTTTTATCGCATATCCTCTTGGTGCACCCCCTGCCACCTTAAAAAAAAGTGTATGCATACCCTTTCTTTTCGTGCTTTGTTGTGATGATCGGTATGTGGCATTGTTCTCCCTAGAGCCCAGGTTGGGGCTTATTTTTTAATTGGCGGTTCTAGGTACGATGATGCTTTGTCTCGCCCCTCTATCCGCCACTTTTGCTGGACAGCTTGGCCTTTTAGGCTAAGTTCACACCAGAAGCAGTGCGTTCCGGCCCGATTCTGGCCAGAATGCACTGCATCGCATTGCGGCCGGCTCACTTTTTGGTGAGGCAGGAGGGGGCGTGGCGGGCCATTGAAGTGAATGGCACTGTAGTCACGCCCTCCGGCCACAATGCGATCGGCTGCACTGGATCGCAAGGCAAATTGTGCCTGCGGTCCGGTGCGATCAAAATGCTGCATTATAACATTTTCAGTTGGGTTATTAATGCTTCATTCATATTTGTTTACTATTTCCGTTTTGATGTGTACTTACCATTATTAGATATAGCTACCTTGGGGGCATCATGGTGGCAAAGTGGTTAATGATTTAGCCTCGTAGTGCTGCGGTCTTGAGCTAGATCTGCCTAAAGTGTAATTCCACTTTCCCAGATGAATTTGGCAAAATATAAATTAACCCCACCAATCTCTCCAGTACTTCAATTTTGCTTGCAAATGGTGAGCAAAATTGGTCATTGCGGTCAGAAGCGCATCTCATTGCTCAGCACAGTCAGGTGACCACGCTGACCAATGGGTGCTCACCGTTTGCGAGAGAAATTTGAAAATACATGCTGCAATCCTGAGTACATGGATATGGAGTATGGATATTACACGGAGGGGAAGAAGAAGCGATCATTAACACATAAGAGTAGCGGGGAGGGCGGGGGCAGAGGGAGTAGATTGGTGGGGGTAATTCTCTTTTTCCAAATTTGCCTGGGACAGTGGAATTTCCCTTTAAGGGATGCTGTCTGCATGCAATATGCATGAAGAAA